AAGATGATGAATGGTAATAGATTTGCCCAGCATCAGAGTCTTGGAAGCAAGTGGCATAATTTGACCAACAAAGGATAGAGAAAGACAAAATATTACATGCAGGATCTAAAATCCTACTTTTCATATCGAATCCATCTTCGGGAAGGCCTACAGTAAAAAAAAGTTGACATTTGGAAAGTATGTGCAGATGAAGAGGAGGAAAGCTAAGTCCAAAACCATACATCCACATAGCATGAAGAAGTGGAATTTGACTGAAGCAGCATGTGATAGAAGGTCAAAGTGATCTCTCAAACCATGGATCAAATCAGAATTCTGCAGTACTTTAATGGTCAGTCATGACAGGCAGTGGACAATTAATCAACAGGTAAGGAGACTCCAGAAACATTCACATCCCAATGGTGGGATAATCCAGCACATAAATACAGAACACAAGGATGAAACATTTGTAACCACCTTCAGGCAGAAATGTTGAGATGGATACTTCATCTTGGCCTCCTTCAGAGGTCCTTGCCCTCACAATATTCAGCCAAGTTGATTCAATCCATGTGATATTCTAGTTACCTTCGGGCCTTTTGTGTTTTCACCAGTTTCTTTACGTCATCATTGGCAACCATCCATCTAGGTCCTATGCCCTGGATTTCTGTCTCCAAACCTCTGCCTCCCAAGACCATCTTTAAAACCTACCACTTTACCAAAAGAAAAGAAGGACTTGTATTTTTACAGCATGTGTATTTATCAGCTTATAAAGTACAGTTACCATTACATTGTAGGAAAACACAGTGGCAAATCAAAGATAACAATCAAAAACCTTTTTCTTAAAAGATTTTGATTGAGGGATAAGTATTGACTAGATCATTAGAGAACATTTTTCTTCAATATAGGTCTTTTACAAACATCCAAATCAGCAGATGGAGACCATGGTTTAATAACTCTTCTAACTGTGCAGCACTTCCTCAGTAATGTACTGAAGTTTCAGTCTGAATTTTGTGTTCAATTGTTTGGAGTGAAACTTGAATGCATAACCTTGTGATTCGAAAGCAAGAGTGCCACTGATCAACACTGCCATTTAACGAACCTGTCTCTCATCTAAACTATTAGTTAACCTTCCCAATATCCTCTTCTTTGACCCTTTATTTGTTTGTATTTGATTATGCTATGGCAAAGTGCCTCAGGATGTTGTTCTATGTCGTTGATAGTTTGGAAGACCAGCATGGTCTTGACAAGTTGGGTGAGTGGGCAAATCAATGGCAGATGCAGTATAATTTGGACAAATGTGAGGTTATTGATTTTGGAAGCAACAAGAAGGCAGATTACTACCTGAATGGTTGTAAGTTAGGAGAGGGGAGTGTGCAGCAGACCTGGGTGTCCTTGTGGACCAGTCGCTGAAGGTAAGCATGCAGGTACAGCGATAATGAAGGCAGATGTTATATTGGCCTTCGTTGTGAAAGGTTTTGAGTATAGGAGCAGGGATGTGTTGTTGCAGTTATCAGGGCCTTGGTGAGGGTCTAGGCCCGAAATGTCAGCCTTCCTGCTCCTCTGATGCTGCTTGGCCTGCTGTGTTCATCCAGCTCTACACCTCGTTATCCTAGAATATTGTGTGTAGTTTTGGTCTCCTTTTCTAAGGAAGAATGCTCTTGCTTTCGAGGGAGTGCAGTGAAAGTTTACCAGGCTGATTCCGGAGATGGCGGGACTGACATATGGGCCAAAGGGCCGAATGGCCTCCTCCTGCTCCTATTTTCTGTTTCTATGTTTCTCTGTCACAATGCCACTAAAGGCCGTGCAGTGCACAGAAAATGATTTCTCTCTCATTGCACCTACATAATTTTGATACTTCTAACTTGTTTAAAATTTTTTCATGTCATGATGGGAGATTTCATATATTGTCATAGTATTTCATTGAGCCAATGTATGGAACATAACAGTAAACTCTCGCTGTAATGTGCTGACTTATTTGTAATAAGAATATGTCTTTGTTTATTCAGACAAAAGGTTGTGAATGCTCACTGATAATGAGACTTAGACTTCTGGCTGGGTTCCTTTGGCATACATCAATAGTTAGATGTTGGTGGCATTTCATGACACTTGAAGTCATTTATCATGCTGAGAAATGCAGCTATACCCACTGCACCAGAAGGACCATAACTTCCTCATGTCTGTAATTTGAGGACAAGAAGGAAATCTACATCAAAAGGTTCACTGCACCTGCTTTCATGCTCTTATAATCATATGTAGGGAGTGTCCATAAGCCCTGGGTCAAGTTCTGTATCAATACTAGTAAGGGTCTAGCATGATTGGTAAGCACAGGGTACTGAAAGTAAATAAAAATAATCTAAAATATGTGTGAAAGTCAGTTGACTCAAATATTTGTGATATCAAAATGTAAAAACACAAATTAAGTATAAAGTTAAAGTCACCATAGTCCCAGAGGACCATAGGGCTGCTCACTTATTAGAGAGAGAAGACTGATAGTGGTTTAACCTGAGAGTCACCATACCTCAGGCAAGGGCAAAGGTTGAGAAGGTGGGTAATCTGGTATAAACATGCTTGAAATAAGTAATATTGCATGTGACAGCAATAACAGTGTGGACAATGGAATAAAGCTCAAAACAGAAATTAAGTGTCCTTTTAACCAATTTCCTAGCACCTCTAATGATTTTTGCACATGTACCCCAAGGTTTCTCTGCAATGGCAATTCCTTTAGAATTGTCTCTTTTAGTTTATCTTGTATCTCTTCATTATTCCTAACATAATGTATCACTTCACATTTCATCTATAATATAGCCACCCCTCTACCTGACTACTTGCCTATATCCTCTTGAAATCTATCACTATCTCCTCAAATTTCACAATACATATATGTGGTATATAGCTTGACCTCTTTCAAAAAAAATTATGAAGTACATTACTTTACTCTTTCACATGACCCCCTAAAAATTAAAAATCAACATCTGAGAAAATTTCAGTTTTTTAATTAAAGCTAAATGGCCACATTCCATTATAAGCAGCAATCATGTAAGAATCAAAGCAGTGGGAATGTAAGTAAGCTATTTGGCCCCTCTTACTGCTCCACCATTCAATGCGAACTGACTTACAACTCTGCAACATGTACTTGTGCAATATCCATATCCTTTGATTCCATGAATATACAAAAATGTGTCAATCCCTAACTTGAAAATGCTCAATAACTGTTCTGCATTAGAGATTTCCAAAGACAACCCTTTGAGTGCAAAACAATTTTAAGTGTGGCACCTTTGGTGGTTTAAGTACATATATCCCCAGGTTACTCTGCTCCTGCACTCCATTTAGAATCGACCCTTATGATTTATATTGCATCTCACCATTATTGCGAACAAAATCCTTGACTGCCCTGTCAATCAAAAATCTGCCTAACTCTGGGGAAACACCCTCCTACTGTCCACTTTGCCAAGCACATTAAAAATTTTATTTGTTTCAATTAGATCACATCTCATTCTTCTGAAGTCTAGGGAATAATATCCAAATCTACTCAGTCTCTCTGCATTCTAACAATCAGTCTAATTATGTTTGTTGCACTCCTTCAATGAAAGTAGATTCTTTTCGGAGCCAAAAGGTGCAAAGTGATGCAGGTATGGTCTCAGCCAGGCCCTATACATTTACAATAGACCTTTATTCTTCTATGATAATGAGATAACAAGGTGTAGAGCTGGTTGAACAAAGCAGGCCAAGCAGCATCAGAGGAGCAGGAAAGCTGACGTTTCGGGCCTAGATCCTTCTTCAGAAAATATTCTTCTATACTCCCTTTGCAATAAAGTCTAGCATATTATTTGTTTTCTTAACTGCTTGCTATACCTGCTATGTTAATTTTGTTTGTTAATTTATCAACATCATCTTAATCACTCTGACTACTAAATTTCCTAGTCTGCCACCATCTAAAGACTATTCTACTCTTCTAGTCTTCTAATTCATATTTCCCCATATTATATTCCATTATGTTAGGCGGCATGGTGGCTCATTGGTTAGCACAACTGCCTCTTAGCACCAGGGATGTGGGTTTGATTCCCCCCGTGGGTGACTGTTTGTATGAAGTTTGTACATTCTCCCTGTGTAGGCATGGGTTTCCTCCCACAGTCTGAAGATATGCCAGTTAGATGGATTGGCCATGGTAAATTGCCCATAGTGCCCAGAGATGTGCAGGTTAGGTGGATTAACCACTGGGAATGCAGGGATACAGGGATTGGGTGGGATGCTTTTTAGAGGGTTGGTGTGGACTTGATGGGCTAAATGGCCTGCTTCCACACTGTAGGGATTTTATGATTATATTAAAATTTATATCAATATTTAAGGCATTTTGACTCAAAGTTATGTCATGAGGCTTCATTCATTTTTATTTGCTTTTGCTTTCAGTTGACACCCTTATCTCAGCACTGATAATCCAGCCCATGTGTTGCTCTTCAGAAAGCATAGGGATATGAAGAAGTCACATCAGACCTAAA